GGGGGAGGGAGAGGGAGTGGTGCAGAACACAGGGAGAGAGGGAGAGCAGCAGCTGGGGCTGACTCTTGCTTTGGTCCCTTCAACACCCTGTTGCTTCTCTGAACAGAAGCCGCCCCCGGCCCTGGACCCTGGCTGCCTGCCGCTCAGCCTACTCCAGGCCCACAGCTCTAGCAGGTACAGTCCACTCTCCCCTCCTTATGGCCCTGGCTGAAACCTTCTCCACCTCCCTGCTCCTCATAGCCACACCTCATGGCCTGGACCACCCCGTAAGAGCTGCTGCCAAAGACAAGACCTAGGCCGCATAGGCGAAGGAGCCCCTGAGCCCTGGCTTGGCCTCCCCATCCTCCACCAGGGCTGGGGTCCCCAACCGGCCAGGCTCATTGCTGTTTCCATGGGGATGTGTGAACTCTAACCCCAGCCTTTCTCCATCCCAGGCCAAATAAAGAGGGCTTCCAAGTGGAAACCCGCCCCTCCTCCTATGCCCCAAGTAGCCCCTGATTCCAAGGCAGGAGTGGAAGGAAAGCCCCCTCCCCTCAGCTCTGCAGTCCCAGATCCTGAGTAGAGTTGTGGCAAGTGCCAGAGGGACCTCCCACACCCAGACCTTCTTAGCAGCCTCTCCCCAGCCCTGACTGCTTTGCTCTTCAGGCTGGAAGCTTGTCTTTCTAAAGTACCAGCTCTGCCCCAGTTCCCACTCAGTCCAAAAACCACTTTGATCCACTGGGACAGTCCACAGGAACAGCAGCTGTTGCCAGCAGGAGCCAGCGGGCAGCACCGCAAGGCCCCTCAGGGCCATGTGGGCTGAACCTTCACTGAGCTAGGGTCCCTGTCAGGCAAGAGAGATTGGTGTGGGGACTGAAATCCAGCTGAGAAGCACCCCCCCACACACAAAGTCCTGGCTGAGAGGACATCATTAGAGTCCAGTGGTCATCTCCAGGAATAAACCACAGCCTGGACCAGGGTTCAGTCCTGGGCACAACTGCAGCCCCATCTTCCCCCCAAGGCTGCTTCCTGGAGAGTCCACCCAAGCCAGCAGAGCCCCAGGCCTGGGAAGCTGACCCCCCTTGGACCACTACAGGCACCCACCTTCTTGGCAGGTACCATGCTGAACTTCTCCCCTCCCCCTCCCCCATGCCAGGTCCTAACGGAGACACTACTTTCTCCAGAAGCCTTCCTTGACCCCGAGCCACGCTGGGCTGAGTCCCCCTGGGGGAGCCACACTCCAGAGTTCATGTCCAGGTGGCAGTACTGCCTCTGCAGTCCCCCTCTGAGTACCCCTCCTGTTGGTTTCCTAGGTTCACCAAGCAACAGAAAGTGACTCTCACAGTTCTGCAGGTTCTGGGGGAGGATCCTTCCTCTCCTTTCCCAGCTCCTGGTGCTGCTGACAATCCCTGATGTCCCTTGGCTTGTGTCAGCATCGCCCGCGTCTCTGGCTCCGTCAACAGGTCGCCTTTTCCCGGTGTGTCTGTCTGTCTGTCTGTTTCCTCTTCCTGCAAGGACCGCAGTCCTCATCTTAACTTGATCACATCTGCAAAGACCTATTTTCAAATGAGGTCCCATTCGCAGGTACCGGGGTTAGGACTTGAGCAAATCAACCCTCACCAGTTCCCTGACCAGCTGTAGGCCCTTGAGCAGGTCGTCAGGACTCGAGTGTAGACGTGTAGACGGCCGGCGGCGCAGCGCGGTGGGTCAAGGCCGCCTCCCCAGGCGGGCGCGCGTCCTTCCAGGACACTGGCGGGCGGGGCGGGGCGGGCGCGCGCGCTTTGCGGTCGGGGACGAGGAGGAGCCTGCGGGACCCGAGAGCACCCGCCTGGCGGCCGCGGACTCGAGAGTTGGGAGCCTGCCACCCGCCGGCCCCGACCCCGGAGGTCGGCCCCAGAGTGGGCCTCGCTTCCCTGGGTGACCCCTAGCTTGTCCCCGATCCCCGGAGTCCCAGCAGCCGCTCTGTCCCCACCCCGCCGCGCGCACCGGTCTCCTGAGCCCCCGCACCCCACGCCCCGGGGTCCCGCCGCCGGGCTGTTTGAATTATGCAGCTCCGGTCCCCTGGAGGGAAGGAACCCGCGGCCAGGACAATGGTGGGAAAACGGGCGACCTTCGCCAGGCTGCCCCCCGCCCCCACGACCCCCGTTCTCCGCAGGGACTGCTCCCGGGTCGAGGACCACCCAGGGCGGGGCTCGAGGCCCGGGCTGCCCACTCACTCGATCTTTGGCTAAAGAACTGTTTCGTGCTAAAGTAGCACTTCTTTTTCTAATTATGAAAATGGCAGGAAATTAAAACCCGCAACAGCAGAAAGAAGAAAACAAGTTTTTTTTTGTTTGTCATTTCCACAAAATCCTATTGGTTGGTTACACAGGGCAGCCCTGCCCAATGTGGGTGTAAACACCTGCACAGGAGGATCTACCAGGGTCACCTGGGAGGCTGGTTACCACACACTCTAACAAAGCCTCAAACCAAGTCCTCACAAGATCCACAAAGGAGCTGGCCAGTTAGCTCCGTTGGCTAGAGTGCAGCCTTAGAACACCAAGGTCACAGGCTCAGATCCTCGTACCAGCCAGCCACAAAAAAAAAAAAAAAAAAAAAAAAACTACACAAAGGAAACAGTTTCAGTTGGCTCTTACAGCACTAGAGAGGCTTGGGAAATGTCTTGGCCACAGATATGTTATGACAGAGCATAAAAACAAGCCTAGCACCTGCTAGAACAAAAATCAACACTCTTCAGAGGAAGGTAACAGAATCTAGAGACTCTGTAACATTTCATGCATAATAACCAAAATACAATAAGAAAGAGAAAAAGGGGACACAATTAAAAAAAAGCAAGCAGAAGCCAGCCCTAAGCCTAGATGTTAGATTTGACAGATAAAGACTTTAAAACAGCTATTTTAATATACTTAATTTTAAAAAGAAAATATGGTCAAATGAATGAAGAGGAAATGAATCTCAACAGAATGAAGAGGAAAGGAATCTCAAGACAAAAGTGGAAGCTGTTTTAGGGCCGGCCCGGTGGCGCACTGTAGCAGTGCGCTGCTTGGGAGCGTGGCGGCACTCCCGCCGAGGGTTCAGATCCCACATACAGACTGGTTCCCGCTCACTGGCTGAGCGAGGGGTGGGCGCAGCACCGAGGGTTGCGATCCCGTTGCCAGTCCCGGTCCGGTGCAGGCGTGACACTGAGGGTTGCGGTCCGTTGCCGGACATGAAAAAAGACAAAAAGGAAAAAAAAAAAAAGGGGAAGCTGTTTTTTAAAAAAAGTGAAAATTCTAGAAGTGAAAAATACATAATTAATACAAAATCACTAAATCAGCCTGATGGCAGATTGAACATCTATTCATCAGCCACCACTAACAGTGAAAAAGGCAGTCCACCGAATGGGAGAACATATTTGAAATACATATATCTGACTAATTGACCATATTCAGAGCATACAGAAGATGCTCACAAGTCAATAAGAAAGAAGCAGAGAACCCAATGGAGAAATGGACCAAAAGCTAGACTTACGCACAGGAAAAGGTCCAATGGTCAAAAGCATTATGAAAAGGTGCTTCAAAATTCTTAGATGTGAAAGAAATGCAAAACGAAACCACAATATGCATCATCCTCCAGAATGTTTAAAGTCACAATAATCACAAAAGCGAGTCTTGGTGGGGATGCGGAGTGACTGTGCCACTCTCGCTGTGCCGGTGGGGGGAAGGGTAAGCTGATAGAACCACTTTGGAAAACTATTTGTCAGTATCTACTAAAGCAAAACTTAAGCACACCCTCTGACTGGCAATTCTACCCCTTTAGAAGGCATATGTATGAGCATCAAAAGCCATGTACGAGAATATTAATATCAACATTACTTGTAATGGCCAAAAATTGAGGATCCACCAACTGCAGCACTGGTAAACAAATCGAGTTTATCAATGAGATATTAATGATACTACATAGCAATGAAAAATAACAAAGTACTGTTACAACAACTTTGATGAACCTGGCAGACACAATGTTAAGTGAAAGAAGCCAGAGAAAAAAGTACACAATGTTTGCTTTCATCTATTTAAAATGGAAAAATAGGCAAAAGTGATGTTTGGCACTAGAAATCAGAGCACAAGTAATCTTTGAGAAGGGGTGATGTTGGGAGGGGGCCTCAGTAGGTTTCCAGAGAGCTGGTGGCTTCCCACCTTGACTGGAGCAGGACTTGCGTGGGTGTGTGCATGACGGAAAATGCTTCACTGTACCAGTATGTTACACTTTATTTTTTATTTTGGGGGGGCTGGCCGGTCAGGGATCCGAACCCTTGCCCTTGGTGTCATAGCACTGCGCTCTATCCAGCTTAGCTAATCAGCCAGCCCTGCGGGTATGTTACATTTCAAAGGTTTGCTAAAATATACATTTGAATTTCCTCTGACCCAGAAATCTTGTTCCTCCCTTCCCCTCCTCCCCAGTTTAAATTCCCTGGATAAGCCTTGTAGTCACTCTCTTTACACACCCTTGTCTCTACCATCCCTATCTTCCTTCATCATACTTTCAGGCAAAACCCCAATCCAGGCAAATCCAACTCCTGCTCTGCACCTGAGCTTGGCCAAAGCCTTCTGAGTCTTCCTCTGGCACCCTGATCCCTACCTGCTCCCTAACCCTTTCCTAACCAGGTCCCTAACCTCTCTCTGGCCTTCTCCCTAACCTGATCCCAACCCCCTCCCTAACCAGGTCCCTAACCCCTCCCGAACCCTAATCCTAACCTCCCGGCCAGGGCATGTGTGCTGCCTGGACGTCCCACTCTGCTTCTCGACTCTGTCACTTGTGTAAACGCTGAGGGACTATGGAAGGTTATACGTGATTTGTGGGGAGCATAGGGAAAAGGAAAAGGGAGGCCTCCAAAAAAAAAAAAAAAAACAGGCCGAAAAGAGTCCGTGATAATGAAACAAGCCGCAGCGCCATGGTTCTGCGCACGTGGCCTGCCGCACCAGGGGCCGCGGAGCAGGCACGCGGCGACTTATGCGGGCTGTAGGGGTGCACACGGCAAGCGGGCGGGTGCCAGATTTCTGTTGTTTCCTTATGCTTATTTTTATAAACGCGAAATGTCTATACTGAGACATTCTTTAGATACTCAAGAAACCCAATAAACCTATTTTGATTGTTGAGCAATGAGTTTCTCTAACATCCCACCCTGCCCGGGCTGTGCACTCGTCAGGGGGGGTGCCTGCAAGCCCGGGCTCACGCCGCCCCCTACGGACCCCGCTTTTGGCTCCTCCCCTGCACTCCACCTGGCTGGCTGGGGTGAGTCATCCCAACTGCACGTGAGGCATGTGTGGCTATATTTCCTCACACCTGGCGCCCCGGGAAGGGAGGGGTCCGGGGACCGGCAGGGCCTCTTTCCTAGTCCAGTGTCCTCCAGAGTCCTGCAGACATTTGCCCAGATGTGGCGGTTAACTGCTCGGCCCTGTCTCAGGCCAACGGGGACGCTGCAGCATCGACAGGGAGGAGCATTGATTCTCACCCTCTCTGCGGGGTCTCTCTCTGTTTTTGGATGGCTTCCCGGCAGGGCCATCTGAAACACAGGGCCACCGTCCCTACTAACACTAGGACAATCTCCTGCACTTGGGGCATAAAAAGGCCAATCCTGTCTGACCCCGAGTACCTGCTGGCTCCGGCTTAGGCTCGCCCCTGGGTGGGGAGGACGAAGACTGCCCTTCCTTACCCCTCTGTCTCCTGGAGTATGGGAGGAAAAGGGGCCCCTTTGTGATATGTTGGCAGCAGAGGCTTAGTTTTCAGGAATGTGTGCTTGGATAAACTCTACATCTGACATCTACAGTGCTCACTGAGCACTGCGGACACAGGAACTTCTAGAACATCTTCAAAGTGCCCTGCACTAAACAGCCTCACCCTCTCCCACCTGCGACGGGGACTCCAGGCCCATTCAGGCCCAGCACTTGGCGGTTCTGGTTCAGGAAAACCACCCAGGCAGGGGTAGTTACTTTTTCTAGATGGCCGAGGGCTGAGTGCTGCAAGCTGGGGCAGAGGGCAGCGAGATGGAAGGGAGCCTCCTAGAGAGCCATGCCGTTTAACTAGACTCAAGACTGACCGGCCTGCTGGAGCCGGAGTTCCATACTCGTGTACGTGCACCCCAGACCAGAGATGCACTGCGTGTGCACTAAGGACACTCTGGGGTTACAGAGCAGGGATGGAAAAGGCTTTCCAGGCAAAGGGCCGAAGAGAAGCAAACCCTGGGAGGTGGAAAGCGCCAGGTGCCATCGGGTTGGGGTGCAGGCCTGTGGGAAGGGGCATACTGGGCAAATCTCTACCAGCCAGGGGGTACCAGAGAGCCACTGGGCCCTAGGTACCGCAGGTCCTCACGTTTTCCCCAGCCTGTTTCCCTGCCTCACTTCGTCGATCCCATTTTAGGGAAAGTAGGGCTCAGAGGTTCCAGGCTGCTAGGAGGCTGCCCGGTCTCTCCCTCCTGGGCTGGGAGGAGGCTTTTGCGAGCCTGCGCCTGAGGGTCCGCGGGCCCAGCTCAGCGCTGGCGGGAATTCTGGAAGCGCCAGCCACTGCTTTTCCGCCGCAGACTGGAAGGTGGCACAGGCAGGGCACGGGCCAGGGCAGGAATCCTGGCGCCTTGGATCCGCTCTCGCCGCATCCGGGACCCTTGGGCTGCTCAGGCCAGAGCGTAACAGGGATCCCCCAATCCGGGACCGAGGTCCTCCCCCAACCCAC